ACAATAAAATAAATAAATGGGAAAAAAAAAAAAAGAAAATATGCATTCATAATATTTTGATAAAACATTATGTTCTGAATTTGTTATTAAGGTTCAGTATAAGAAATAACCAGATGAAGTTGTCTGTGTATATTTTACATGCTTGTTGTTAAAGCTGTGATCCCTTATTGTGATCAATGACTCTTATATGAAAATACACAGGATGGATTCCTCATTTAATTTTTAATTTGTTAGAAATATATTACTACCATACCATTATATGGGTATTTACCATATGCTAAGTATACTTAATGTCAAGTGCTTTGCAAAACCACATTTAATCCTCAGAATCTACACTATCAAGATGCTCTCCTGATGCTTTAATATGCTTCATATAACTGGAAAATAAGACTTAGTTGTGTTTTTCTTTTTGTCTTGTAGCTGGAAAACTAAACATTAACTCTACTATCTATTGCATTAACAATTTATCTTTCATACCCTGGTGCAATTACCATTGCATGATTCCTGCACATTTAGTTCTTTCTCAATTACATAATTGTATTTTTGTTATTATATATCTCAAATCTTTCTGAAATAAAATGGATAAAAAATAAATAAAATAACAGTCTAGATAGTGCCTTATTCATGACAAGGCTATTTCAGTATTATTTGTGTGTAGCTGCCAAGAAACATTGCCAATGTGGCTTCCAGAGTTAGAATGCTTTATTTCAGCCTAATATTAGTTCATCTTCTTTTAATAGAATTTTACATATATGCACAGGGATATATGTATTAAGTCCTCATAGGTATTCTTTATTTATTTATTTTAGTTTTTTATTTTTATTTTTTGAGACAGCGTTTTGCTCTGTTGCCCAGGTTGGAGTGCAGTGAAACTATCACAGCTCACCGCAGCCTCAACCTCCTGGGCTCAAGTCATCCTCCTTCCTCAGTCTTGGGCAATATTTTTAAAAATTTGTATAGAGATGGTATCACATCGTGTTGGCCAGGATGGTCTCGAAAGTCTGCCTCAAGCTATCTTCCCTCATCGGCTTCACAAAGTGCTAGGATTATAGACATTAGCCACCATACTCAGCCACTCATTGGTATTCTTTATCCAGACCAAAACAAATATCTTTTGGAACATAGGCTGGTTTGCTTCTCAGTAATTAATTTCTAAAGATTTTATATCAGTATTTTATAATAATATTCATGAAATTATCTGACAGAAATCAAAGAAATGGTAATATTTAACTTCAGCATGTTTTGCATAACTAAAAAAGAAGTCATTCTCTGTTTCGGGGGTGAAAGTCCATAAATTAAGCCTACACCATACAATATTCCTCTTATAATTTTCATACATGCACACATGTTTTGAAAGCATAATTACATGTTCTACCTATCAAAATGGTATTGTTAAGTGATCTAAAATTACATACCAAAATTAGCTTTCTTTTTAAATTTCTATAGCAATTTTAATAGTGTTTCTCCATGTGAAGTTTACTATTCTAAATGCTTCTTGAAATCTTATAAATCTTTCTACACAATCCAAGAATACATTTGTGTTTTTTATCAGTATTAAGTCCAAGCATTTTAAACAGCAGAAAGCTGTGTAGGTTAGAGAAAAGCTCTACATAGCATTGACAAAATTAAAACCATCTACAGGAAAATTAGAAATGATGTAAGAACACTTTATTTATAGTTAACCACCATTTTTAGTCTTTATACAATCATAAATAACTTTAAAAAAATTATAATAGCCTAATTTGTAAAAGCTTATATAATGGAGTCAGCATGGACTTGGAAATATAAAAGGCCTGATTAAGAGCTCATCTCGAAATTTTAAAAGCTTCGACCCTGAACAAGTTTCTAAGTTTCTTAACCCTTCTAAATTATATATATACATATATATATACACACACATATATATATATATATATCCTATTACGAGGATTAAATAAAATACTCAGTGTAAAGGATTAATATAGAACGTGCCATATAAATAAGCAGGTTTCCTTCATTTCCTTCCCATTTTACACCCTTGGAAATCCAGCTACACATTACTTCATAGACTTTTAGAAAACATTTATTTAAATTCTATCTAAATCCGTAAGTAATTGACTCATTGGTTCATTCATTCAAAAATTATTTATTAATGATATATTCCTTTTCATGATCTGGTTAGTAAGGACACAGCTGTCAGCTCTCCTTGCTTTTAAAAATTAACTATGAGGGATATTGAACATCAGTCAAGCATAGCTTGAAAAGGCTACATCCAAATAAAAGAAAAAACAGTTCACAATGGAACATCTAACCTAGGCTCTCGAGATACATTTAAGCTAACAAATGAATTGACACCTATACTGAGACCTGAAGTTAGAGAAACCTGGGTCTAAATTCTGTGCTAAAAAATTTACTATGTGAGTTTAAGTCAAGTTGTTTAACTTCTCTGAGCCTCAAATTCTTTGTCAATAAAATTAGTCCACAGTAACTCTTAAGAATTAAAGGAAATACTCTATCTAAAGCATGAAACCTGGCCCCAAGTAAGTACTCACAAAACTTAATCAGTTTTATTATATGTATTACTAACATTATTATCACTGTCTGTTATCCCCATTTTGAATACTCAGTCATTTCTATTGACAGCATTCCTTTTCTATTGTTGTAAAGATGCTATCTAGAAGTTTTAGTGGGCTGCTAAACGTCATTAAAACTAACATTTTACTAATTCTTCAAAAGATTTTAGAAGGCACTTATTGTATGTACTATAAATCCAGAATTACATTAGGTGCTAGTCATACAGAGATCAACACAAAATGGTACTAGAAAACAAATCTGAGATTTTTCAGACTATTACTCAGATTTCACTGACTAGAGATACATGAACTCACATGGCAAACTTGATGTATGGACTAACAGAATAATATATCTACCTGTTATGTTCCAGATTAAATTCAGTGATTAAAGAGGCTCACTTAACCAATGGTTTTGCTGGGCTGTGTAAAACAATCATTCCTTCCTTCATTTGTTCATTCATTCAATAGTTTTTCATTAAGGACTTCTGGTGTTCAAAGGTCTGAGCTACCAGTCTGAGAGGAATAAGAACATGGGGTCAATATTCTCAGGAGGTGATGATTAAACAAGTCATGAAACAACTGGTAAAGACTCTAAGAGATGTAAGAACAAAACAATACTTGTCGAGAGAATAAATGATCACATCAGACACAAGGGATCAGGAAAGGCTGTAGAACAT